GATTGATACATCACCCAAAATGAGATATCTAGCCAACATTACACTGGCAGAGACACATTTGCCACGCTAAGTATTCAGTCTACAAGCCATTAGTGTTTTCGGTTGGCAGTAATGGAGCCCTAAGGGAGCTGCACTTGTTGCGCTGGTTGATTTGTTTCTGGTAACCACATTTTGTCAACAGTTTATTGAATGTCTGCTCAATAAAGTTGGTAACACCATCCCTTTGTATATCAAACCCCACATGAAATGTTAATTTCAACATGGACAGTAAATCCATTTTCATTTACAAGTCAACCCTCATGTTCTGTTGAGATTGTTATGTATAAAAATACAGTTAAAAAGGATTATTCGGATATTATTAAAGCTTTAACCCAATCACAACATTTTTTCTTTTGTCAAATTAACTTAAATAATGTATGTGGTTCAGATAACATAACATTTTGAGTTTCTGATAATTAAATCAATCTCCTTCATTGTATTAAAGGAGTAGTTCATTTTTTTTTCTCTGTATAATGCACTTCAATGGGAACCAAACGGTTCAAGGTCCAAATGAGAGTTTCTTTGCAGATTTAAAGGGCTTTAAACGACACCAGACGATGAATAAGGGTTTTATCTAGCGAAACGATCGGTCATTTCAAAAATCAATGAAAAAGTTTACGTTTTATAAGCACAAATGCTCGCCTTGCTTTGTTCTGTGATAAGCGTTCGTGACTCTCCTGTTCAAACTCGTTCATCAAAATGAACAAATCTTTTTTCGAGTCATGACTCGAAGGGTCCTAGATAAGACCCTTATTCATCGTCTGGTGTCGCTTAAACCCTTTGAAGCTGCACTGAAACTGAACCGTTTGGTTCCCAATGACATCCATTATATGGAAAAAAATCCTGGAATGTTTTCATCAAAAACCTTAATTTCTTTTCGACCGAAGAAAGAAAGACGTGGACATCTTGGATGACATGGGGGTGAGTAAATTATCAGCAAAAGTTTTTGTTTTTTAAAGTGAACGACTTCTCTAACTCAATTTTTCCAATTCAATGAACTTATTTTTTTTAGGCAAGCAAGTTACTTGAATTTTTAAAGTTAAACCAACAATATTTTTTTTTACAGTGTAGATTTAGTTAAAAATGCAGCCATTTGTCAATTACAGAAACTTCAGAAGGAAAACGTATTATTTTTCATGGAGGACGTTTGAAGGATATCATCAATACAGTATAAATCAGATTTTAAAAAGTGAGATCTGTGTATACAAATGCAGTCCAAAAATCAATATTTGGATATTATTGAAGCATTAACCCTTTATTGGATCACAAATTAGGTAAAATTGTGACTTAGAAACTTAGCAGAATGAAATCAGGGGACGTTTAAAGGATATGACCAAAAATGCATATGAATCTGATATTTAATGTTACAAAGTGAGATCTGTGTAACCCAGTCACCCGACCAAGTCGTACGAATTCGACGAATGATTAAAAAGTGGCTAATTCGTAACAATTCATACGACCTCACTCGTACGAATTAATACGATTTTGCTAAATCGTACATATTTTACGAATTGACCAATTCGTATGAATTCGTACGAATGACCTACCCTTTACCCCGCCCCTAAACCTAACCGTCACGTGGGTTTAGACAAATCGTACGAATTAGTACGAGTGAGGTCGTACGAATTAGTCCGAATTAGACGTTTTTTAATCATGCGTCGAATTCGTACGAATTGGTCATGAGATAGTGTTGAATATTCAGATATTATTGAAGCATTAACCCTTTTGGATCACAGATTTAGCAGATCATGTTTTTCATGGAGGACATTCGAAGTATAAATCTGATATTAAATGTTAAAGCATTTTAAAATCTATTGGAACAGCCATGAATATCTTCAAACTGAGAATGATGATTGATCAGATATCTAGTCGAGGTAATTGTGGGTTTGGTTGCCAGTTTTTGGTGGTGATGCCTTTTAATGATGAATCATTCGGTTACATGTGCTATTAACCTAATAAACTGTTGTGCTGTAAATGCAACCCTGACATTTATACTGAGTTCTGTGTGCTCATCAGATGGATCATAACACACTGCATTATTATTCCTACTAAAACACAAAGATGCCACTACATTTAAAAGCCATCAGGGAGTCAAAGTTTAGCAGACAATTTCAGTCACAATTTGATGCTTTATTAAAAAAATATGACACTCATACCAGAGTTAAACCATAATCTATTGCAAGTAAACAACTTTATATCCTCCATAAACTACTTTATATCCAGCTCATTCAAATGATGCAGTCTGATCCATGTTCCCTTTATCTGACACACCCAGAAACTTCTACTAAGGATCTGCTTTAATAAAATCAGGTATTTTAAGTAAGGTAGACATCCAAAAGGTGCATTTTTGGGGGTTCTCCACCAGAAACCTGAACTGCATGAAATTGTATATTCTCCAAAGAAACAAAGACCTCAAGAGCCTGGAAAGATGGTTCTTGTTAAAAGAGGGTGTAAAGACCATCAGTGGACCTTTTTTTAAAGAGTCTAAGTTCAAAAGAGCTCAAAACAGATGTGCTACAACTTCAGCAATTAGTTAAAATTTTCTTCTACTGCAACTTCTACAAATAAGAAATTATACTTAACTGACTGTTTATGGATTTAGCCGGTCAGCAAAGAGCTCTTGTCAAGTGATGTAATAGGTGAAATAAATATAGAGCTTGATAGATAGATAGATAGATAGATAGATAGATAGATAGATAGATAGATAGATAGATAGATAGATAGATAGATAGATAGATAGATAGATAGATAGATAGATAGATACTAACATAAAAAAGTAGATAATACATATTTCTGCAATAGCATAGATGCGTTAAAGTAGAGTTTGAAATGCCTTACCATGCTCAGCTCCAGCCACTGTCAGCGTTTTAACCAGCAGAATTAATCCCGACATGCTCAGAAATGCCAAAATAAAGTCGGACATCGTGGCTGGATGTAGTCCCGAGCAGGTCCGTTCTCCGCCAGCGCCGATGATGATGATGATGATGATGATGATGATGCCCAAGTTGAGTGAGAGAGAGAAGCCGGTCTGAAGCCCCGCAGCGCAGCTTCTCCCGCAGGTGTGTGTGTGTGCTGCGTGTGTGTGTGACTGTACGGACAACACGGACTGCGTGCGCCTCCGTTTGAGGATAACGAGGTAGGATGGGAGAGAGAGAGAGAGAGAGAGAGAGAGAGAGAGAGAGAGAGAGAGAGAGAGAGAGAGAGAGAGAGAGAGAGAGTCCTATCACAACACTGAATAATGAGAAATGAGATTATGTGTGGAGATTCGATAGATAGATAGATAGATAGATAGATAGATAGATAGATAGATAGATAGATAGATAGATAGATAGATAGATAGATAGATAGATAGATAGATAGATAGATAGATAGATAGATAGATAGATAGATAGATAGATAGATAGATAGATAGATAGATAGATAGATAGATAGATAGATAGATAGATAGAGGGGTGGTAACGGTTCAATGTCTACCAGAAACTTCAAACACTATTCCATGAGCACTTCAGCTCTGTCGTTCTCTATGGGTGTTCTTGTCTCTGGTCCACAGGTTAAGGTATCGATTTCAACTCCAGGCAATTAAAACAAATACAAAATAGGATAAAACACCACACCATAGTCTCGCGCCAAGAAAAAAAAACAATGAACATCAGCGCGAGAGCCTGTTGCTTTATATCCACGCGAGGATCAGCAGGGACCAGAGAAACCAAAGCTAATCTAATTCGATCAAATCTAATTCTATCAATCTGGTTCAGGAACATGTTTCTGGTATAGCTAGTTGATGGCTTATTTATCTGGGGTTTCATAGTACGGAACAAAAAGTACAGGCACTTAAGCCCTGCGATTACTGGTTTCTCTCAACATTATGGTTACAAAACAAACTGAGGCCAAGTCCTCTGTCTTTTCACGTGGATGAATTCATTCCCTACACTCAAACGGGACACACACACACACAGTGATTCAATAAATTGGCGTTTTAATGCAGTTTGTCCATGTTTGTCCTCAGATCTAAGCAGGTGTCCTTGGCGCCATAACGTGTAAAACATCCAGAGCTCTCACACGTCAGGGCGACGCGAACATCTGCAATTCATGAGCTTTCAGATGTGTTAACAGCGAACTTTGGTTTTCTGTTACAAAAATATTTGGCATGAGGTATTCAAAATGATATTTTTTTTTTAGGAAGTGAGCGGTCATGTCTGCGCAAAACTCTTTGCTGTGATTTTTTGGGACTCGGTAGGTTTCCAGGAATTTCCCATGATGCTCTGAGGCGATTTTGTTCAACGGTTTTCCTAGATTTAACAAGTCTGGGAATCTTTCAACGACATTTTAGGTTTGAGACAACGCGTGAAGCTGCCATGTAAACAACAAGAACGAATTTTTTTTATTTATTTTTTTTTTAACAAAAATGCATATCATCTACAGTAGATGTGAGCGGAGCTACCAATGGACATGCAGGCCTAAATATTGACGGAAAATATCAGTGTTTGTATATGTATTTTGTTTAACAATAAAACTAAATAATATTAATAATAAAAAATAGAGAAAATAGTTAAATTAATGATAAGTATAAATAGTAGTAAAAACAGATAAAAGTAAACATTAAACTATTATTGTTAATATGAAGTAGTTAATAATCATTTTTAATACTATTATTATTAATGAAAACATAAGGAATTACAGTTAAATTAAAATAATGATAATAATATAATTATTTTTTTATTTTTAATATTAATGACCATATCAAACAACAGCTTTAATAATAATAAAATTTAGAAAATTATTGTGATTGAACGTGTATATTATTTAACTTTTATTATTAATGGCTAATAATTATTATTAATAGCCATCAACACAAATTGTTATTATTATCATGGAAAATATTATGGAAAATAAATAATAATAATAACAACCATCATAATAACAAACAAATATTTGAATCATTATTATTATTTAAAGGAAAAATAAGGTAAAACTTTGTACTGCAATGCTACAAACAAGTTTCTCTGCAAACATGTCCTTATGTCAAAGCCATATTTCCTGTACAAAGTCATTTCCAGACACATTTATTGGTTGACAATAATAATGCTCTCAATTTCAAAGCATAGATCACTGCATATACGGATACGCGTACAGTATAAGCAATCACATCCTTCACAATCTGTGCTTTTCAATATAAGAGAGAAGAACAGAGTGTCTTTATTACCCTGGTTAATCATAAATAAGCCATACACAAGCCTGGGAGAGAGTGATAGACAGTGTGAGAGGACACACACATCCATGGTGTGAGAGTGTTTTACTGCCACCTACAGAAGGTCCACACAAACACAGGTTAGCTCAATGGAAACAACTTTTTCTCCTGCACATTTTTTTTTTTTTTCCAGGGTTTTCATTTTTGAAGCTGGCGGTTGGTGGAAATATTTTATTCTGAGTGGCGCTGACCCATTAAAAACCCGAGGGGACTTTACTTTAGGATGTCACAGCTGTGTTCGAGTGCTCTCTCGTGGCATTCTCTCCCCGTTGAGCCGTACAAGAAACCCCACCGCACTTCTTCCTTAGCTCAACCAGACACAGACCCCCGGTTTCCCAACTTCCTAATTGGCCACAGCTCTAGAATGGCCTGTGACTCCAAAAGCCCCAGAATTTCAATCAAGCTGCACAAAAGAGGCCTGTGTTTCTCCGAATCCTCCATCTATCCATTCAGCCCATGTTTGTCTGTCTCTCTCTCGTTCTTCTACACTCTTCCTCATATTGATGGACAGGTACTAAGGTCATGAAGTCATCTTCTACCTCTCGCATGGGGCTAAAATCTGGCTGTCACGCTGTAAATAATTAAAACAGGACGAAGGTTTGTTATTGAATGCTGAAAAGATCTGGAGCCACTTATATCTCTGCTGAATTACCGTTACTTATGGCATTAACTGACTTATTATAACGTATTAATATTTTTTTTCTTCATGAATTGTATTAATAATTCATATAAATGTATAAAATATAAATAAATAAATAAAACATATATAGCCTAGACTGTAAAAATATGTTTAACTTAAACTTCATTGAAATGGAAAAATTGAGTTAATACAATGAAGGAGATTGATTTAATCATCAGAAACTTACAATATTATGTTATCTGAAATACATAAATGATTTAAGTTGATTTGACAAAAGAAATAATGTTGTGATTACTCATGTTCTCATGCATAGTTTGTTTCATGCTCGATGGCTCATTTATCGGTAAAAATGATTATTAAATGTACAATTTAATATATATTAGTGCAGTCAAATTGAATAATCCCAGCTAACATAAAATTTTTGTTTACATCGTATATATGTTCGTGTGTGTATACATATGTTTGTGTATGTATAAATACAACACATACAGAGACTATATATATACATGTACTTTTACGTTAAATGTGATTAATATAGCAATAATAAAACACTAATATATGTAGGCTATATATATATATATATATATATATATACACACACACACACACAGTATATATATATATAGTAGTAATGATGTTATTTACACACCCACATTTGCAAACATCATTCTGTCCATTATTGGATGACATGGTGCTAAAAGGTCATACTTAGCATTCTTATTTTAATTTTTTACATGAATTTGATAATTTTCGTTTGCTGTGAAATACTGCCATCTACAGGAATCCACAAGCACACTCACCCTCTATTACTGCAGTATGTATGTGCTGGACATGATAATAATAATAATAATAATAATAATAATAATAATGATTAAATAAAAAAATAAAATCATCTGATTCATTGTTGGATAAGGTTGTCAAAAGGTTTTTTTGTTTGTTTGTTTTTGTTTTTTTACACCAATTTGAATTAGCCTATGTTTGGAAAAGAATAATTGTTTTACTGTTTCTGTGTTTAAACATGACTTACATATTTATAATCATATCTGTTTTAAAATGCAGTCGGAAGATAGAATTATTTTGGGGTTGTATTTCTGCTCTGTTTATTTGGGCTGCTGTTCAGGTTTCTCTTTCTTCCACTTGATTGTTGCCTGCAGAAACAAACAACCAATCCTGTACAGAACACAGAGAAAGAAAAAAAAAGAAGCTGACTGACTGAAAGTTTGCCAGGAGGGGGTTACAGACACTTCCAGGCATCTCTAACGCCACAAAAAAGGCAACAGTTGTGTGGTTTGCATTACAAATGAACACAGTGAACATCAGTTGCCAAGGAATCCATATGCACAGTAATTACTAATATTCACCTTGATACAGTAAACAGAGATTCACAGATTCATTCTTTTTATCATTTGAAGTTATTTTAATGAGTTTGGCATCTTACCATTTGTGATGAGTGCAATAAAAGTCTACTGTTAAATGTGTAATAAGTCAGTTTTCTTCTTTTATAGCCTCCATCACGATTAATTATAATATAATATAATATAATATAATATAATATAATATAATATAATAAAAATAACCGGGATATGCACGAAACAACACTGCCACCCTGTGTTCACACCTCTTCCACACACTCCAGAACACGCTTAAAGGGATAGTACACCCAAAAATAAATTCGCTGGGCTTTGTCTTCCATAGTATTTTTTTTTCCTACTATGGAAGTCAATGGTTACCGTCTGGTTACCAACACCCTTTAAAATATATATTTTTTTGTGTTCAACAGAAGAATGAAACTCATACCAGGTTTGGAACAATTTGAGGGTGAGAAAGTAATAAAAGAATATTAATTTATTGGGTGAGCTATCATAAATTTGGTATAATATATAGGATATGCTACCTTTTTTTCAAACTCTGGTTTTGATTCATTATATATCAACCAAAACAAATCCCAATGTATTAGATTTACATTTAAAAAACGTTAATTTATTGTTACTACAATAGCCTACAGAGACTAGTTTAGACTTGCCTGCTTGCACTTTATGTTGTAGGGGTGTCTAAACGAACGTCCCATTATACTATAAGTCTACACGAGTATGTTCATTAAAGTCGACTTTTTAAAAGAACAGCGCATTAAATACAACTTTATTTTCATTAAAAGTCTCCTTTAAAAAAAAAAAGAAAGAAAGAAAAAAGTTTTTTAGTATGCCACGTGAAAATGTATATTAAAAAATTAAGTTAATAAATGAAACTTTAATTTTAGAAAGGCTTTCTTAAGACTGTCAATAATTAAATATTCACGAGTAGGCGTGTCTCCCCAGAGGCCCTATGTTCCTCATACAAAAAGTACATGTAGACTAGTGTGTCCAAGTTGTACGATTAAACAAAACTTACCTTAGATTCGGAATTAACGAAGAGCCAAACTTGACTGGATCAATCTCTTTTCCAGGCCCAGGTTGGAGGAGCATATGGCGGCGACGGAGTCCAGTTTAAGCCCCGCGGTGGAGTCGGTGGTGCCGGCATGTATGTTCGCACCTGACCCGGGTTGCGCGGAGGATTCGCCCGGCGCTGAGCTCAGCGACGCCGGGGACAACCAGAACGGGGACGCCGAGGATCATTTAGACCTCACCAGCAAGGTGGCTTTCAGGCCTGGCAGCTGATATAAACGCTCCTCTGTGTGCATGAATCAATACAAGAGTTTATTAGACCAATGCGTTGTTTTGAACACACAATTACCAAGTTTGAATTCAGTGCAAACGTTGCATGAGTGACACGTCGGCTGTGCGTGTGAACGCCAGCTGGCATTACATCAACAGTGCTGGGACCCCAAACTTATGTGCTAACCTAAACTTGATTCATTTTGTGATAGGGTGGATTTTAGGGTTGGCTGTTGCATTTTAATTGATGTAAAATTGCAGTATGTAAAAGTTTATCTAAAAATAAGGGTTTATATGGCCCCAGAAAATGTATTTGGACACTCAAGTCAAGCTTAAAAATGTACAAATCTCATTAAATTAAAATATCAAACAAAGTTTATTTTAAATATACACATTTATTTATTTTTTTAAATTTATTTTAAAATTAATTTATACATAAATGTTTCTTAGATTTATAATAATAAAAAACAAAAAAATATATATATTAGATTTAAATATAACTATAAATAAAAAATGAAAGCAGTGAAATTCATTTTGTCAAATTGAATTTTGTTTTAACAATTTAAATAAAAAATATTTTGTGAAAGGTTTTGTTTGAAAAGTATGCTTAAGTATGCAAATTAATTAAATTCATAAACTTCTTCATGGAAGCCAGGGAATAAAAAAAATATAATAATTGCGAGTTATAAACTCAGCATTGTGGGGATACTGTGTAAACTTGATTTTTTTCTGACTTTTTTATATCTCACAGTTCTAAAGAAATAAAGTCTGAATTGTGTGAGATAAAAAGCAATTACCTTTTTTAATGTTTTATCGCATGGCTGAAACAATCTTCCATAGTTCTTTGTTTTACATAAGTCTCCAAATTCCTTTTGGGGTCACTGTATCTAGATATTAAATAAACGAGATACGACCAATATTTTGGTATTTAAAAAAAAAAGTAATGTAGTTAAATGCATTCTCTTTTTTCTAAAAGCTCATTTAATAATGCAATGATGTTATTTGTTGCCAGTTTGCACTGGTCAGCCCTACAGGAGAGCAGTATGACTGTTTACAAAAGCAGCTGCGAGAACGAATGGAGGAAGGATGTGGAGAAACCATCTATGTGGTTGGCATGGGGACAGGTAAGGTTGTTTTTTCCCAAATGTAAATGAGTTCAGATGCAAAAGCCTCTAAATGCCATTTGAACTTTTTTTCTTTAATGATGATTTTTTTCAAACTTGCATATTTAAGTTCAGTAATTTCACTTAAATAACAATTAATAGGTAATTATCATTGCCATTTAAGTGAAATCACTGAACTTAAATATACAAGCTTGATAAAAATCATAATTAAAGAAGAAAATTTCAAATGGCATTTAGAGGCTTTTGCATCTGAACTCTTCAAATGTAAATGGCCTATTTCGAATGCTGATAGATTCTTGGTGTCTCTATCTCTCAGACGGTGGTGATTATGGTTTGGATGAGCGGGATATGGAAGCATCTGTCGCTACGGTGCAGTCTCTTTGCGAACAGGTTGACGGTGACCTGATTCTGCTGAGAGAGAGGACGGAGACGGCGGGACGTGTCCATGATTATCTTATCAGGCGCCGTGTGGGAGAGGCAGACTTTATGGAAGTCAGGTTAGAAGAAGTTTGCAAAGAACTTGTATAAAAAAAGTTGTTGTTTTTTTTCTTAAAGAAACTTTGTACACATTCTTCCTCAGAGTGGCGGTCGTAGGTAATGTAGACGCTGGAAAAAGCACACTACTGGGCGTCCTAACCCATGGCGAGCTCGACAACGGTCGCGGATTCGCCCGTCAGAAGCTCTTCCGCCACAAACACGAGATGGAAAGCGGCCGGACCAGCAGCGTCGGTAATGACATCCTGGGTTTTGACCAGGAAGGCCAGGTGGTCAACAAACCGGACAATCACGGGGGGAGCCTTGACTGGACAAAGATCTGCGAGAGGTCGTCAAAGGTCATCACGTTCATCGACCTGGCGGGGCATGAGAAGTATCTGAAGACCACCGTATTCGGAATGACTGGTCACCTGCCAGACTTCTGCATGCTAATGGTGAGAGGCTGTAGGTGTGCCTCAAGGCTACATACTGGGCCGGTTCAAGTTTAATGAACTTTGTCTTTTTGTTTGTCATGAAGGTGGGAAGTAATGCAGGAATCGTTGGCATGACTAAAGAGCACCTCGGGCTCGCTCTGGCCCTCAACGTTCCTGTTTTTGTAGTCGTAACTAAGATAGACATGTGTCCCGCTAACATCTTACAAGGTAACGCAAATCTTTTTATCACTAGCATTTGTGGCATAATGTTGATTAGGCCGTGTGTCCACCAAAGCGTTTTTAGCCAGCTGAAAACGCTAGACGCTCTGCTGAAGACGCCGTGCTTTCGCCGTTTAGACGTTTCGTTGCTATGATACAGAATATACCGCAGCAGTTTGAATGTTGTGACTGTTGGTCGGTGCGGTATTAGTCCCGCCCCTCCTCCACTGTGATTGGACGGCTGGGTAAAAAGTGACAGTGATGAGCGCTGCGTTTTATCCAAAGTTGAAAATTTTTCAACTCCCAGCGACCAGTAAAAAGCTGGTCGGCGCTCGGCGCTTCCGCGTGAAAAAAACGCTCAGCGCCTCGGTACGCTCATGGCGTTTAAAAAACGCGGCGCTCCCATTGAAAACAAACGGCGGGCGCGCGGAAAAACGCTTTGGTGGACACACGGCCTTAGTGTAGACTTTCATTTAATTTATTACTGCACCAACCAATGACAATATCACCAAGAAATGGGTGAGTAGAATATAGATTTAATCATGTTTACGAAGTTGTAAGAATACAGTATAACGAAGTATATACTTGTTCTTAATCAAAACTTCTTAATCAAAGTTAGCCTTTCAACCCTGACAAATCTGACTGTCGTATTTGTGTTTGTTTGTACTGTAGAGACACTAAAGTTATTACAGAGGTTACTCAAATCTCCAGGATGCAGAAAAATTCCAGTTTTGGTGCAAAACAAGGATGATGTCATCGTAACAGCCTCGAACTTCAGCTCAGAGAGGTAATTTGACCTGTCGGCCAATAAAATGGGAGGATCTTGTGGGGGTTTTTTTGACGTTGCGCCTCTAATCAACCACCAAGAACGAAATGAATAAAAAATTTGATTTTATTGATTGCAACTCCTGTGACTATATTTAAATTGATTACGTGAAAAAAAAAAAAGTTTTGGAAAGCAATATTTTGGAAAAGTTTTTAAAATTTTTACACCTCAAAGAATCTTCGTAAGCATCAGTTTGAGAGTTATTAAAGAGTAACTAAACCCTAAAAAAACTTATTTTTTAGTTAATGATCTGTAAGAATGGATCTTTATTAATACCAGTCATAGTTTCGAGTAACTTTTTTGACATTTGTGTATAAAGTGTTTTATTTCTACAATATATGGTGGAAAAACGTCTTAGTGCTGCCCTCTTCAGGTTGAACGGTGGCTACTGCAGTTGAATTTTTCTATTGGATGTCCCGCACTTCGCGACGTACGCAGGTCTTGGTACGAGCTACGCCCTTTGGCAGTATAAAAACCAGCTTGTTTCGTCAAAACCATTCAGGAGTTGGAATGGCGAGTATTGAAAACGATCAGGATAGAGTGTTTTAGCATCTATTTTGCCACCTCTATCTCCGCTGGGGTCAGCCCCCTTTTTCAGCATTTTTCAAATATTGCCAGTGGGCGGAGTCAGGCTCTGACCAGGGGTTTAGTTACCCTTTAATGTCATCTGAAATAATAAATGCACACTAAATCAAAGCATTGTTTTTGTGGCTAGGATGTGTCCGATATTCCAGATCTCGAATGTGACGGGTGAAAACATGGACTTGTTGAAAATGTTCCTGAACCTGCTGTCCCCCAGAACCTCATTTAAAGATGACGAGCCCCCGGAGTTTCAGATTGATGACACGTATTCAGTTCCGGTATGCCATTTACTGTCCTCGTCTTTCTCTCTACCTCTTTCCCAGTCGTTTTAACCACTTGTACTGTATGTTCCTCAGGGTGTAGGCACTGTAGTATCAGGGACTACTTTACGTGGATTAATACGGCTGAACGACACGTTGCTCCTCGGTCCAGATCCTCTGGGCGTCTTCATCCCCATCGTCGTCAAATCGATCCACCGGAAACGCATGCCTGTTAAAGAAGTGCGCGGTGGGCAGACGGCCTCGTTCGCCCTGAAGAAAATCAAGCGCTCGTCTATCAGGAAGGGAATGGTAATGGTGTCGCCCCGCCTCAACCCACAGGCATGCTGGGAGTTTGAGGCTGAGATTCTCGTACTCCACCATCCGACGACGATAGCGCCGAGATACCAAGCTATGGGTGAGTAGAAGAGACAAATATTAAATTTCGACTCAATTTTTGATAACGAATAGTAAACTTTTATTATCTTGTTTTATTAATTTGTCTTAAACATTTAATAAAAAGATTGTTAAATTGTTAAAAAAATTGTTGTTAAAAAAGTTTATTTTTGATATTATAAACTGAATTAACATCATTTTTATATAATCTATATTAAATGTATATATACTTTTTTAAAAATATTTTTGTTTCTTGTTTTTAATAAAATATAAAATAAAAATATAAATAAAACAGATTTTAAATAAGATACTTGGATTTTTAAAGTAGTAAATATTTATTTAAAATTGTATGTATTTAAAAATCCAACAATCTCAATATTTATACTTTCGACACCAGAAAAAGGTAACAAATTATTCAATATTGATTTTCTAAAAAATAATTTTACTCTTAAAAACTGAAAAAGAAATTTGATCCACCTTTTGCATATTTTTATAAATATATATTTAGTATTATTTATATATAAATCATTAATATATAAATATTTTGTAAGATACCGAGGATACTCGTCTTTTATTTTATTTTAATTTCATATTTTCATGTTTAATTTTGACCAATATTATAAGTATAAATCTACTCTATTTTACCTTTATGAAATTGGGTATAAAAATTATAATTGTTTAATAGTTTTGAAATAATTGTTAATTTAATTTGAATTCCTGTAAAACTGTATAAATTTATATAGTTTTACGTTATGAACTATATATTTTTTTTTTTCTCTTCATAAATCTACTGAAATATATGAATATTTATATGAAAATTTTAATTTGAAAATTCGACTTTGAAATTATCTCAATCACAGCTTCACCCTCATATTTGCAACTGTTTATCACTTTTTTCATGACTTTCTCTGTGTCATAGTTCACTGTGGCAGTATCAGACAGACCGCCACCATAATCGGCATGAACAAAAACTGTTTACGAACGGGGGACAAAGCCACAGTGCATTTCCGTTTCATCAAAACCCCTGAGTACCTTCACACGGACCAGAGACTCGTCTTCAGGGAGGGCAGGACCAAGGCCGTGGGCACTATCACTAAGGTCAGAGGTCATACGCTCACAAAAAAAAATTACATTTAAAAAAAAAAAAAGTCAAGGTCACATTTTATAATGGAAGACTTTTTTGGAATTTATATCTCACAATTCTGACTTTTCTTCTCAATGTTTTTTGCAGGATGTAAACGTGCAATTCTGAGAAATTATGAAAAGTCTAAATTGTGAGATAAAAAGTCTCAATTACTTTATTTTTTTATGCGGCAGCATTATTCCACACCAGCAGGTGGCAATATAACCCTAACCGCAAAGACACGTTGGCCAATTAGAAGCCTAACTTTCTTTTTACTAATTTTCTGACATTTTGAATTTGGGTTTTTCATAAGCTCTAAGCCATAATCATCAAAATTAAATAAAGACTTGAAATTTCTCACTTCAACTTTTGCACGATATTCAAATTTTTCGAGTTTCACTTCACTTTTGATGAAAATGACTGTAGCAATACTATCTTAGTGGTCCAAAAAATAGGTGTCATATTCTTTGTGAAAATTATAATTCGTCCTATTCTATTCTGTAAAATATGACGTTCTTGGCAGGTTCTGAATCGGTTTTACTGTATTGGCTGACGGTATATATGCATGATTGACGTCTCTACAGTAAATAAGGATTCGTTACCTTCCAGCATGAGTCATAAAAACTGGCGATGCATTTCCTAATGAAACTCCCGTCTGTTGTCTGTGCGTGTACGACAGCTGCTTCAAACCAAGCCTCTGGCCAAGATGCAGTCTACCAAGAAAACATTTTCACAGGTGGAAGGGTCTTCATCAACCAGCGAGGAAGCTACACAGATGGAAGGAAGCCCTCAAACGGGACAACTGGTGAGAGAAACTTTATTGCATATACTGACTTCACATCAAGTTCCCTTCGGGCTGTATGTAACATTCATCTCCAAACGTTAACGGATACTTACGGTCCCTTGAAATTTCTCGACCCTTTTCATCCCCAATACACCAAAACCTCCCTTTTCTCTTTTGCTCTTCCCCTCCTCTGCCTTTGTGTCCAGCAGGGGATGAGGAGACACTTTATAAAGGTGAAAACAAAGAGAATGAGTAAAGTGAAGGTAAAAGGGTTTTTAAGCCCTTTAAAGGTCGAACTCTTAAGCTTCTTAAAATGTAAATTTTCAGTAGTGTAAATCACAGAAGTATTAAAAGCAAAACGTTCATGACTATAAAGGACATTAGAGTCTTAATGTAATGCGTTTATAACAAATCACCTAACTCTTTCATTAGACTTAAAGGTTAATTGTATTTTTTTCCATTAATGGCCGCGCTGCAGACCAAATTCTGAATTTGTTTCTGTTTAAATGGTGCTCAAATAAAAAAAAAAATCTTTTTTCACCATTATTGAGACCTTAAATTAAAGGTTTATGAACATAATTGATTTCAATTTCCCACTTGTCTTTAATTTCCATTAATTAAAAAAATTCATAGAAACTATAAGCTTTAGCTGATAAACTGTTAAATTCAGGAAATGAATGAATTAAAAATAACAAGGTCTGAGATTCATTGAATGTCAAAAAAATGAAAGAGAATTGAGTCAAAATAACTAAAATTTAAGTTTAATTTGTTTTGCTAAGGAGAAAATTACCTAAACTAAACATTTAATACAGTGGGGGAAATAAGTATTTGACCCCTTGCTGATTTTGCAGGTTTGCCCACTTACAAAGAATGCAACGATCTATAATTTTAATCATATGTACATTCTAACAGTGAAAGACAGAATCCCAAAGAAAATTCCAGAAAATCACATCATATGAATTTATTAAAATTGATAACCATCTAATGAGGAAAAACAAGTATTTGACCCCCTACCAAACAGCATGTTAATATTTTGTAGAAAAGCCATTATTGGCCAGCACAGATGTCAAACGCTTTTTATAGTTGGTGACAAGGTTTGTGCACATTTCGGCAGGATGTTGGCCCACTCCTCCCTGCAGACAGCCTCCAAATCTTTCAGGTTCCGAGGTTGTCGCCTGGCAACTCGAATTTTAAGCTCCCTCCAAAGATTTTCAATTGGATTCAGGTCTGGAGACTGGCTAGGCCACTCCAGAACCTTGATGTGCTTCTTCTTCAGCCACTCTTTTGTTGCTTTGGCGGTGTGCTTAGGGTCGTTGTCGTGCTGAAACACCCATCCTCGACCCATCTTCAGCTCTCTCACTGAGGGAAGGAGATGTTGGTCCAGAATTCCACGATACATGCCCCGTCCATCCTCCCCTCAATACGATGGAGTTGTCCCGTCCCCTTGGCTGAAAAAGCACCCCAAAGCATGATGTTGCCACCACCATGCTTGACGGTAGGGATGGTGTTCTTTGGGTTGTACTCGGTGTTCTTTGCCCTCCAAACACGACGAGTTGAGTTGAGGCCAAAAAGTTCTATTTTGGTCTCATCTGACCACATCACCTTCTTCCAGGCCTCTTCTGAGTCGTCCAGGTGGTGAATGGTGAACTTCATGCGGGCCTGTACATGTTTCTTCTTGAGCAGGGGGACCTTGCGTGCGCTGCAGGATTTCAATCCATGACGGCGTAGTGTGTTACCAACCGTTTCTTTTGTAACTGTGGTCCCAGCTGCCTTCAGTTGATTCATCAGTTCCCCCCTTGTGGTTTTGGGATGATTCCTCACCGTTCGCATGATCAGGGACACCCCACGAGGCGAGATCTTGTGTGGAGGCCCAGACCGAGGGAGGTTGACGGTGGTGTGGTGCTTCTTCCATTTCCTTATAACTGCACCGACAGTTGATCTTTTCTCTCCAAGTTGCTTTCCGATTCTCTTGTAGCCCATCCCAGCCTTGTGCAGATCGACAATCTTGTCCCTGATGTCCGTAGAAAGCTCTTTGGTCTTGCCCATGGTAGTGAAGTTGGATGCTGGTTGTTTGGGTGTTGACAGGTGTCTTTTATACAGGTAATGAAGTGAGGCAGGTGTATTTGATGTAGATAATTGGTTGGGATTGAGGCTGTGTCTTAAAGAAAGACTAACTGGCTTGTAGGAGCCAGAATACTTGCTGTTTGGTAGGGGGTCAAATACTTGTTTTTCCTCATCAGATGGTTATCAATTTTTATAAATTTATATGATGTGATTTTCTGGAATTTTCTTTGGGATTCTGTCTTTCACTGTTAGAATGTACATATGATTAAAATTGTAGATTGTTGCATTCTTTGTAAGTGGGCAAACCTGCAAAATCAGCAAGGGGTCAAATACTTATTTCCCCCACTGTATGTATTGGTTCATTTTATTTGATGACACGACTAACTTTAAAGCTCCAGTCTATAACTTTTTTGGGTTAAAAATGATCCAAAATAAATTTAGTACATAACCAGCCAGTGTTCAAAACTATCTGCTTGCCTTAGCTCGATTCAAAGTGGTAAGCTTGTAATACTGTTTTTAATGTTAGAAGAGCAAAATTTTATGTTTCTTACTAGTTCAGATGACATTTTAGGGTGAAAATTCTTATATTGGTCATATATACTTCCAAACATAATAAACTGTAATTCTGAATGCCAATATTGACACCGGTGCGGTGACTGACAGCTGCACATTCTGCAACTGTGCCGTGCCGAGGCACAACCTACGTAAAGTTGTTAATTTCGCGAATGACTGCAATTGCAGATTTCGAACAGAGATGGCGACAAAGAGGCAAAACTGCAGGCTGCATTTTTAATGTGCTTTTAAAACACAATTGAATGTAAAAAAAAGGAAATTTGTGCAATTAAATAAAATGTATTTATTGTCTGTTTTTCTAAGGAGAAAAGTACAAAAAAAGTCGATATTTATTGATTTATTACTTTTCTTTATTTGACGATACATGACAAACTTGTCAGAGAAACTCCCCTGATCTCTAGTAACCACCCATAAAAGAAGTAAATATTTTGGTTTTGTGGTTTTTATAATCTTGTTCAGTAGAAATTTGGTCAAATACAATCCAAACTTTAATTGCAGTAACTTAAATGGAAAAAAAATTGTTACATTTTAAAATTACTTGATTTCGACAAACTGAAAAAAGCCAAACATTGTTATGGGAAACAAAATGTGTTTTTCAAATATGGTATTTTTAAGTGAGAATGTGCTTTAAAAAATGTTTTCCATGTTTTAATTTGTTTTGCTAATATGAAAATGACAAACCAATCAGTATTTATTTTTTGGTTATTTAACTATTATTCAATGATTTTTTTTATATTGAAATGACATGATTTAAACTGATAAAAACAGCAAAACTTTACAATAAGGTTTTATTAGTTATCATTAGCTAACTACTTTAGGCCGTTTACACGAGAATGCTCGCGGGTGAAAACTATTTTATCGGATGTGCCTTTCGTTTACACGGCGACAGCGTTTTTTTGGGGCTTAAAAACGCAAAAAAGTGAAACCACCCTCCAGAGTGGATATCCTAAAAACGCTCCACCGTCGCGTTCCCGTGTAAACGGTAAAAACGCGAAAGTCTGCGAGACAGTGAAGGTTGTACGCAGGCGCGCGAACTTGGTGTCGTTTTGTGGCAGTGCTCCACATCGCCACCTAGCCGCCTGGAGTGCATTCTACATTGAATTTCACACACTTTTGCGTTATCTCCACGCGGATTTCCCATCCAAAACGCTCGTCAAAACGCAAAATAAAAAGTGACTTTTGCGTTTTCTCTTCAGAATCGTTTCCGTGTTAAACATAGCCTTTGTTAACATGAACTAACAATGAACAATTAGCATTTATTAATCTTTGCAAGTTGTTTTTGTTAACAATAGTTAATGCACTGTGAACTAACACGAACAGCTGCATTTTTATGAACATTAACAAAAGATTAGTAAATACTGTAACAAATGTCTTCTCAGAAAAACTAATATTGAACTTTACTATTGAAAAAATGTTAGAAACTCCCTTTAACTCTAGAAGGCACCCTAAACAATGAGTTTTTCCTCAGTCTGGGGGAAGCGGTCGACGGCGTGGCGGACATCGGCACAAAGGCAAATCATCACAGATCAGCGGCACTGGACCGACAACTACAGCTACTGGAGTGAGCGGCAACTGAGATCCTCCATCTCTCCCACCATGACTACTGGTCATCTGACGTCAATATTTTAAGTGGACACCAGAGGGCAGTAAAGCCTTTATTTTCCTCTCACTAAACCTCCTTAATTAGAACCGTTAATCTCCACTGACACAATCGTGCCAAAACCCTGACTGACAAGCAGCTGTTGTGTTCCTCGTCCACACGCTCTTTTTTTTTTCTTTCTCACCCTTATCAAACCCTTTTACTTAATATTCTGTCAGCCATTGGAGTCTTAACACCATGTAATAAACACCCCGAAATCCCGGATTTTGTAGCCGGAATGTTTCCCCGAGGACCCAATTAAGGAGCCTACGACTGAATCCCTGTTTGTGTTCAGCGATTTTGCAGCAACGTCATTTTCCTCCTTCAATTGAATTTGGCAAATGCTAACGGAGATGAAAGGGAGAAATCTGTTCTGCTTGTCAATCTCTCATGCCCCCTCATCCTCTGATTTTAATGAGCGTTGTAGCTGCCGAGACGCGCGCATTCACGACAGATACATAAAACCGGTCCCTCTCGGAGCACCACAAATTAGGTGGCTTTCTGCTCTCCCGTGTTGCTTTTTCATTTCGTGACCCAGCATTACTTTCAAAAGGTCTCACCTTTTCAACGAAGAACGTTTTTTTCAGCAAAGAACAGGGAGCTAACCGAGACGACGTGTGGCATTTCATTTGGATTTCTGTTTTCACTTTCTTGAACCATGTCTTATTTATTCTAGACTCCTTTTCCAATTAATTTACCACTTTTGAGTAGCGAGACTAAATCTTTAGCGTTGACTAAACAAACAAAAGACTAATTCACCCACAAACAACAATTTGGTCATGTAGTTACCGCCATGTCATTCCGAATCAGCATGTTTCCCACGCGATTACAGTTAATGTTTTTATTTTACCAGTCACTTTTTCTGTAATTAGACGGATCAAATGCAAAGAAAGTGTGGGGAAAAAAAAAACTAAATTTAAGTTTTGTATTCATATTCTTCCTTTACTGTTAATCATTGTAAGCACATCGAGTCAGGAAGTCAATGAGGTTTCTTTTGCATCAAAAAAAGTACCATAATATTTGTGGCCTATATTCAAGTCTTCGCAATTCGGATGATAGCTTTGTGCGGCTATTATTGATCTACTTCCCCTACTTTTTAATCTTCATAAGCAACTCGAATGAATCATTCAGATGGTTTTGTGACTCAAAAGAATGATTTGTATACAAATTACTGGACGATACATATATCATGAACTTTACTTAGAGATGAAGGGTGGACGTCAATATTTTTTTACTACAATTTCTTGCACAAAGCTACAAAAGACTAACCACTAAAGTCATATGGACCACATTTATTGGGATTTTGAAGCTTAAAAACTATGTTTCCCAGTTTGATTGTGCAGTCATACAGGTTTGGAAAGACTTTAGGGTGAGTAAATGACCAATTTTTTTCACTTCTGGGTGAACTATACCTTTTAAATACGAACCTTAAAAAGTTGTGCGTGATAAGATACCAGACCAACTGAGTTCAACACCGAAAACTTGAAACTAAAAAAAAAAAGAAAATGGACAAAAGAAAAACACATTGCCCACACAACTGAACATAAATAGCTTTCATTTACATAGTTTTCATGAAGAAGGCATCGTTCAAGGCAGTTCCTGTTCTTGGGTTCTATCTGCTGTTCTTATGTTTTGAATCAATAAAGGTGAATCACAAGGTCTGTACTATCAGGAAGATCTTTAGACATTGATTTTAGTTTTATCCGAGGCAGGCAAGGAGATTTGAACCTTTCAAGCCCAGTAGATTTTTTTGTTGCACATGATCTCTACAAGTTCAAGTAAGAGAATGGCTCATGAAGACCACATGCAAGCCTTCAAGTTATGCAAAATAGATTTTCTTCAGAAATCTGATGGATATTATTATTATTATTATTTATTTTATTTCTTATTTTGTGGTTCTTTTTTCTCCCCTCAAGGCTGGTACAAGTTTTAAAACATTCAATTGCATTGGTTATGGTATTTTCTCCTGAATAGTGCATGATTTTGGGTTTTTTTTGCATAAAAATATGCATGTGCACTATGTACAAATAAAGAAAAAAAAAACGTCATTTGTGTTGTAAATCCTTTTAAATAAAATACGAAGTTATACAGAAACTTTTAAATGCAGTATCAAATTTTGACAAATCAAATGTAAAGATTTTACATATCTTTCTTCTGTACTGTTTAGTCTTTGGTTTGTCTTTAGTTTGTCTAATTTGAAACAACTCCTCCTCTGAGAAACTATTGAACAAACATTTCGTTTATTTTCCCTCAGACACTCATTTCTAATTTGTCATTCGCTCTTCTCTCCAACACACCAAACAAACACGCCATAAAATAATCAAATTACTTACCGGCCCCAGCTCCACTGCTCCGTAAAAAGATATGAAATGCTCTTTGCCAACAAAACTGAGGCATTTAGGTAATTTTGTCAAAACTCATTGCAGTGGCGGCATTATAAAGCCAGCCGAACATCGAGCCACATGGTCAAACCGAGTCCTTTGGCGCCATTCGAACCAATTATAGCCTTTGTCCACCAGAGGGGTCGGATGCCAGTTGTGTCGCTGAGATTCCAATAAACATGTTATTCAAAAAGCCAATTCCAGTCTGCACCATGTGTCACCTTGGTGAGTTCAATTGTATTGAGGTTTTTGAAACTCTTCAAATATCTTTTTTATTATTATTATTATTCAATTTTAGGTTTCCCCTCTAGCTTTTACATTTTTAGGTGTCTGTAAGGTGTCCATTTACCATTTTTGGACTTGTTAAGATCACTATAGAGTGCTACAGTGCCCAAAGTCACCGAAGAGTAATTCATATAGGAACAAAAGAGCTGAAGGCATCCATTAACATTTCTAACACTCTAACTTAATATTAGACTTAGCTTAAAGGGATAGTTCACTTTGAAATTAATTTTTGATATGTTTTAGCTTACCTCAATGTAGGTGTCTTTGTTTCCGCAGTATTTTCAATTTTTCGGTCAAACCGATCTTGTCTGTCAGTCATATAATAGAGGTATATGGGGTCCACCTCAAAGAGCATGAACAGAGAAGTCCAAATTAAACATGATTTAATGACTCGTAAAAGTAAGTACACATTGATGGCCTAAGACACGAAACGAGCGGTTTCTATTTATATCGTTTTTTTACCTCTTGTAACCACAGCCAACGTCCAAGTGATCTGAGGCCGCAGGCGCTTCGTTCTGGAAGTGATCTCAAGTCACATTTTACATTTGAACACAGTAGAAATGTATTGTTCAAAAGCAAGCATACATTTCCTTAATCACTTTAGGTGCATTTAAGCCGCATCAGAAAGATCATAATTTTGATTTAAATATGAACACCAACACATTGCCGAAAGTACGAGATGGGGCGGATTACTGAGAAAACATGGTAGATTCTATGTATAAAACTATTATTACTTTTTATTTTACAATAAAACTAGTTAAGTTGCATGTACAAAAAACAAATAGTATTGTGCCAAAACTTCATAAACTGGAAAAAAAAAAAAAAAAAAAAACAAACACCTCATGCACATTCTTTATTCACAAGTAGAGTAAGGCCGGATTCACATTTAGCGCCTAAAAACGCGTAGAAAAAGCTGGGCGCGCCGCATTCTCCTTTTTCCAAAACTCTCGGATGGTTGCGCTCCGGTTGGTTCTTGTCACGTGACCTAGTGTGCGCTTATGGTGCGCTTGCGGCATTCTGAAAAGTTGAGATGTTTTTATCTCGATACGGCGCAAACGCGCTCTGAAAAACCGAGCGCGTCGCACCGCGACCACGTCGCTTCCATTATGAGCGCGCATATCGCGCGCCTACATTTGAAATAACGAACTTGAGCGCGCAAAAGACATGATATGTTAGAAACGTTCTGTATTTTTTTGTACAGAAGGTACAACACCATCTTTCTACAAACAAAGTCACTTGAATGCTCCTGATGTCAGAATAACCACTTCGCAACTTGTAAATTCGCAACTTACAAACTTCTCAGGAGGACAAGAACGCACCAATATTCTTTGTCTTATTTTCTCATGCCTTGTGTAGTTTCGTTCATGGCTTATGAATTTGAGTTGTGACAATGGTGTCGAAAGTAGTTGTTTCAGCCTTTGTTTTCAAGGTCATATGCAGAAGCTGGAAAGTTTGCCAAATTTGCTGTCCTCAGAAGTATTGATTATATTTCAGAATCTAAGGCCACTTAGTTTTTATTAATTAGAGTTCTGCCCCTCATTTAAAGCATGACTGGTTAATCCTCTGTGCATTATTTTACGTATTGGCAGTGTATAAACACAGGCTGATTAACAGAAACCATGTTTGGACAAAGCAAAGAAGATTGAAGCTTCCTCTTTCAAAACAATGTCATTCTTTGACGTTGTTTAGTCTGCCTTTCCAAGATGAAAGACTTTATTTATTTTTTTTTACTTTCTTAGTTCAATCAAGTCTATTATGTTACCATTTTTCAAACATATTTTGATAGCCGTCTCGCTGTGAGGCTTGCCAACGTCGAATAGAATACTCTTTATTTATCTGGTTATAAATCCTTACATGGGTACAACTTCTAAAAATCCATTGAAATCAGTAATTTTGTTTTAAAAAAACACTTACAATCTGTCAGCTCATATATATAATATTATATTCAATTCATTAAATACATTTTCATTGAACCCAAAGATATCTAACATATTTGTTGTTTTTTTGCCACCAAAATGTATAGTACTGTTTACATATCACATATTCCCAAATGATTCAAGGTACCCCTTGACATGACAATTGCATTTCCCCCCCACTTGAGTCCATTTTCTCTCTTTCAGTTCATAACACATATCCTAAAATATAATTAGAGGCTCTTACTTTTATTGCAGTAATCCATACATAGAGTGCAATTTAAAGGAGTAGGTGACTTTAAAAAAAGAACTTTTGCTGATAATTTACTCACCCCCATGTCATCCAAGATGTCCACGTCTTTCTTTCTTCAGTTGAAAAGAAATGAAGGTTTTTGATGAAAATATTTCAGGATTTTCTCCATATAATGGACTTCAATGGGAACCAAACGGTTCAAGGTCTCCTGTTCAAACTCAATCAAAATGAACAAATCTTTTTTTTTCGAGTCATGACTCGAAGGGTCCTACTCATCGTCTGGTGTCGTTTAAAGCCCTTTGAAGCTGCACTGAAGCTCTTATTTGGACCTTGAACCGTTTGGTTCCCAATGAAGTCCATTATATGGAGAAAATCCTGGAATGTTTTCATCAAAAACCTTAATTTCTTTTCAACTGAAGAAAGAAAGACGTGGACATCTTGGATGACATGGAGGTGAGTAAATTATCAGCCAAAGTTGTTTTTTTTTTTTTAAAGTGAACTACTCCTTTAAAGAAAGAATTGCACAGCTTACCCCACTCTCCCTGGTGTGCCACACATGCAAGTCTCTTACGTACGTCCACAAGGCCTTTTATTATACCAGCAATCCACTGCCATCACATTTTAAGCCATTTATAAATAAATGATCAGCTCTCTGGTGCTCATTGAGTCATTATCTGTATCTCTGACTCACTCGCTGTCTATCTGTCTCAGCCTATCTTTCCATCTCGTCACAGTTTTCTGCAAGCGGGTTGTCAGGGAGAGTACATTTTGCTGTTGTTCAGATTGAGAAGCATGCAAAACTAAAACGTAATCCCAACGACAGAAGATGCCTTGATAAGCTGCAGTTCTCGGATGAATGTGAATGATTTGAAAGGGCGACATTTTAAAATACATCAGCGAGGAATTGGTGCTTCATCCATTGAGACGTTAATCTCGGAGTAAATAGTGACACTTACATTCCCGGAGGGCGAAGTAGTTTGATTTTACTTTTTACATTCAATTTCCTTGTAGTTATTTTAGCTCATCATAAATCAGTTTTCTCAGCATTAGTCGGTCAGTGGCAGATATTTGGAAATGACGCAGCTCAAGACTCTGTGGCGAGAGATAAGCATTTTGCCTTTGATGAAAAGCTAAGCCCTTAGCTCTCAGTTCTCGGCTTTGGTTGCTGATTTGGCTTGGCAAACTCGGGATTGCCATCGTCTGGAGGGTGACATGGCCCTTTGTTGATTGCCACTGTTTCAGTGGGCCCAGAGCTGGTGTACATTGATGGGCGCTCACCCTGTGGTCTGTGTGGGTCCTAACGCCCCAGTAAAGTGATGGGGACACTATATTGTCAAAGAGCACCATCCTTCAGATGAGACATTAAACCAAGGTCCTGACTCTCGGTGGTCATTAAAAATCTCAGGATGTACTTTGAAACAATAGTAGGGGTTTTTTCATCACTCTCTGTCTACTCTCCACCAATAAGCTGTTGTGTGATGAGAGTTCTGGCGCACTATGGCGGCCGTCGCATCATCCAGGCGGTTGGTTGAGGAGATTCCCCATTAAAAAGTGCCAAAAAAAGAGCTATAGAAATGTAACGAATTAATTACGCAGTCAACCAACTCGTTCAACAATGCTGATTCGTTTTCGAATGCAACAATTGACTGCCTTTATTAATCATTTAGGCAACTGTTTCGTTCAACAGTGTTGTAGTTAACTAAATCAAACTATTAAAACTAGTTTTCGTAAATTGAAATGAAGTTGAAATAAAATAAGTTCTACTGTATATATATATAACTTATATTTAGTGCTGTTAAATTCATTAATCACATCTAACGTAATAGTTTGTAAATATATAATGTGTGTGTGTGTATGTATAAATACACACCTATTATATTATATTAATATTGCCTTGGCAACTGAATTATATAAGTTTAAGTTAAAGTAGTAAAATGACTAAAACTAATGTAAATGAATAAATTCAATTTATATAGAAATATTTATGAAACATAAAAAAAATTACAAAAGCACTTATGCTGTTGGACTTCAGTCATATATTTATTTTTCATGACCGTCGACAGAAAACATTTTGCGCTTTTGTGTTTCTATCACGTTGCTTAATGGGGACGTGATGTTTCTATAAATTACAGATTACTGTAAACGGTCCAAGAAGAGCCGTGACAGTAATTTATGAACAAAGTTGAGTCAAAAACCAGACAGTCAGGAACCAGA